GTAATGCGCAGCTACAGCAAGTGTCTGATCTTATCGACCCTGAAACTTGGCTCTGGAAAGATCAGGTAATCAGAGAGAACTTCATACCATCAGATGCAGATGCCATTCTGAACATCCCCCTAAGGATTGGCGGTGGTGATGATATTTTGGCATGGGCTTTGGATAGATCTGGTTCATACACTGTCAAGTCAGCTTACCGCGCTCTCGTGACTCAGAACGAGCATTTGGCTCTAGAGGAAGGGACGGTAGTCGAAACATCAACGACAGAGAAACAGTTATGGACCACATTATGGAAACTGAAGGTTCTGCCAAAAGTGAGAGTATTTTGGTGGAGGGTTTTACGAGGTATTATGCCAGTAGAATCCACACTCAAATATCGACATATAGCAACAGTGAGCCAGTGCAAAATTTGTCAGCATGAAGATGAAGACATGATGCATGCATTGTTGAATTGTTCCCACGCGAGAGGGTTTTGGACTCAAGCTCCGGTTTGTCTTGGGGTAAACCGACCTGACCTACACCCTCTAACATGGTCAAAGGATATCATTTGTGATCCCAAGTCCTCTGAGTCCGATCGAGCCAAACTGGTGACGATCATGTGGGCTATTTGGACGTCTAGAAATAATATAACTCATGATAAAGGTGGCCTCGACCCAATACAGTCCATGAAAATGACCAGAGATACTTTAGCTTTGCTTGATCTACCAAAGGCTCAGGCCCGGCTGCTTCTGGGCCATGGATGGAGGCCACCTGAGGAGGGGGAGGTCAAGATAAACACTGATGGCAGTGTTGCATTGGAAGCTCGAAGAGGAGGGGTGGGAGGAGTTGCTCGATCCCATTCCACTTTCAGAGCTGCATAGTGTAAACCTTATCAGGGGATTACCGACCCCCTTATCTCTGAAACCCTAGCAATCTGGGACGGTGTCATATTTGCTAAGCTCAGGGGTTATGAGGAAGTCATGATAGAATCCGACTGCCTGGAGGTCGTTAATCTCTGGAACTCGCGTCATGATGATAGGACTGTTGTGGCGCCCATCCTGTCCGAAATTTTGGAGCATTCTTCTAGTTTTAAGTCTTTCTGTATTCAATATATTTCGAGAACAGCCAACTACCCTGATCACCTATGTGCTAGACATGCAAGCACATTGGATGTAACAGAATGTTGGTTTGACTCTGCCCCTGGCATCATTGTAACTAGCCTCCTTGCAGATTTTGCAGGGGCTTCGATTGTTGAATAAAAGCTCCAAATATTTCCCCGTCAAAAAAGATGGTTCCTGAAATACGACCTGCACATACTCTCAAGTCTCAAGCAAGAATCTAGTTGTCAATTTATTAGCTAGTTTATTTTGAGGATAGAGGCATCGCTAGAATGTCTGTGACTTACTTTCTGAGGCCGTTCCACTCAAGTCAGGAAAGTCTTTGATATTCTCTGAAATCAGCCTTAGCCATTTTAAGGTACAGTATGTTGCTCACAAGATGCATTCTGAAATGTGAAGTGTCGGAACCAAAGGTGTGATAAATATTTGGCTACCATAAATTCTAAAGAAGCTGCATTTAGAATTGGCCTAATATCACATGTAAACTCATAGGATGGTCATTACCCGTAGAACCTCATTCCTCATTTAGTACATGACGATCTGTCTATTCTACAAGATGCTCATGACACAATCTTCTTTGTGGACCATGTCTTGGCTAAAGCCACCAATATGCAGTGAATTCTTAGTGTGTTTGAGCAGCTCTTTGGGTTAAAGAAAACTTCCATAAGAGTACCTTAATTTTAGTGAATGGATGTTTAAGATGCTGCAGTTACTGTTCACGGATGCACCGGACTCGTCCGCGGACGTTTGATGGGTCGGATTAGCTAGGTGCAGCTGTAGATGCTCATCTACAACCAGAAGTACCAAAATATGCCCCTCAAACGCCCGCGGACATGCCCGGTCGCCTCCGCGGATAGTGACCGGACAACACACACAAAATTGATTCCACAACAACAAACACCATTTCCAAATCACCAAATCTGTATTATTACATGCAACGTAAAAACTATTCTAAGTGGAGCTTGTCCAGCTTCGCCGTGCCCATGTCCGGTGGCCGGCTGTAACCTTCAGAGTGTTAGTCCGGTCGCCAACGAGGTTCAGTAGGACATGAGACACAGACCGACTCACGGGACTCAGGGCAACATCGTCTTCCATGATGCCCTACTCTTCCTCGTCAGAGTCCGGAACCTTCACACTGCTGATGGACATGGGGTCGATGATGGATCCACCTTGGGAGGAGCTGGCGACGTCCACCATGACGTGGTTGTGGTGCCCGGGCTGGCCATGCACCACACGAGGCGTCGGAGAATGTGACTCTGACTCACCAACGTCTACCGCTGCGAGGAATGCCACCGCCTCCCGCGTCCATTGTCTCGAACGATGATCATGCCGCTCCATATTTGTGTCGGCTGACGACTATGCGTTCACCTTCGCCTCAGTGTGCAAAGAAAGCGGTTGCACATCCGCACCTTGTTCGGACGCCAGGCAAACCGCAACGACGATGCAATGGATTCCTGACGGAAGGATTCCAAGCGATGTCGTCAGGTGGCCTCCTCACGGGAGCGGCGGAGTGCAAGGCGGACGGTCGTCTCCTCCCTAGGGTTGTGCGAGATGAGCTCGAGATTAACAGATTTGGAGGTGTAGGACTCGGATCCGCTGCCCGTCGTGTCAGAGAGGCTAGTAGATCACCGGACGGGAGCTTGTGGACGGAGGGAGTCGACTGGAAGCGAGAGAGTGAAGTGGAATGCGGCTTGGATTCCAGCTAGAGTGACGATAGAGTCCATTTTATATGGGACCGGGTGGGCCAGCACGGGCCGTATCCGGCATGGCGGGTGCGTCCGGGCGTCTCCATATCCGCCCTAGATTTAGGCTGGATATGAAGAGTGTTGGTCAGTTCAAACGTTTGGGCTATTTATGGACTGAGATGAGAGAACAACCACAATTAAACGTGTCTATACACATCCGATTCAGAAAAGATTTAGAACATCTTATACTTATGATCAGATGGAGTATTTGACTACTAGTTGTCCGGTAAATAATTTGATACTTGAGATTATGTTGGGGAAACTGCTATATGTTGGTCCTCGTGGTTTGGTAAAAATGACGTATTTTTGTTTCCAATGAAACTAATATTTTATGGCGAGTGCTACGAGCCAGCGCCAGCCCAAATTTGGGTTGCTCGCCTCGCGGCCGATTCATCATCTACTTCCCCCACACTTCTTCTTTCTCATACGGGGCAACCACCCGCGCACCCCCATGCCACATCGAGTTCGCACACACTCCCCCACACACCGTACTAAGGTTGTCGCGCGTGTCGGTGTCAAAACCGGCCGATCTCGGGTAGGGGTCCCGAACTGTGCGTCTGAGGATCGAAGTTAACATGAGGCAAGGGACACGATGTTTACCCAGGTTCAGGCCCTTTTGATGGAGGTAATATCCTACTTCCTGCTTCATTGATTTTGATAAGTATAGGGGTTACAAGAGTTGATCTACCTTGAGATCGTAATGGCTAAACCCTAGATGTATGAATTCTGATTGCCTCTACGGACTAAACCCTCCGGTTTATATAGACACCGAAGGGACCTAGGGTTATACAGAGTCGGTTTATAGAGAAAGGAATCTTCATATCCGAATGTCAATCTTGCCATCCACGCAAAGGAGTGTCCCATACGAACAAGGGGGGAGGCCTTCTATCTTGTATCTTCACGGCCCATCAGTCCGGCCCATGTCACATATCCTGACCATCCGAGGACCCCTTGATCCAGGAATCCCTCAGTAGCCCCCGAACTTGCCTTCAATGACGATGTAGTATCCGGTTTTTATGTCTTCGGCTTTGTAAGGCGGATTCTCCATTATAATTCGGACTGACGATAGGTCGGCTCCGTATTAAATATCATGTCTTTTGCCGCCGCCGCTACGGCTTCCACGTGTCTGACGAATGCGAACGGTTCAGGTATTTTTTATAAATAACCCCTCGTCCATGCAAGGATGGAGTCTATTTAAGGGGATTGGATCTTAGATGCCATTCCACACCACGCGGAAATCCTTAAAACTCGCCACAGGAAATCATCCAAACATGGCCAGCACTCCTAGCTCCCCCTCACGCCCCTACGGCCCTTAAAAAGGCGACTAGGAAAGCTGCTATGTGTCACACTCCCATCTGAATGAACTTGAGAGGCAGGGATATCTTCCTCCCGCAGATCTAGTCTCCGTTCGGGCTGGGTTAACTTCCCTTCATGGCGAAGCCCTGGCGGAAAATTTCCCCAATCCTTCTAAAGAGGAGCGGGTGTGCTTCGTTTCTTTTCTTCTGAGAGGCGTAGGATTCCATATCCACCCTTTCCTCACAGGTCTCCTCGAGTATTATGGATTCCAACTGCACAATCTGGCACCAGGCTCCATCCTGCATACCGCGGGCTTCGTCGCTCTCTGCGAGCTGTTCCTGGGCGACGGCAGCCCAGGCGGCGAAGCTGGCAGAGCATCAGAACCGGGCGGCAGAAGTGGCACGCGCGCCACGGGGTTGGGGAAAAGGCGCACAGCTCCAGGTGGGGAGCGTCTAGGCGGCGGCGGCAGGGCCGTGCCAGTCACTGAGGGAGCATGGCGTGCGCCGGCGGTGGGCGCAGGGGCTGGGACACTGAAGACGAGCTGCGCGGCCTCGTAAACCCCCTCGAGATGTGGTTGATGCCGCCGCACCTGATGCAACGCATGGGGCTCTTGCACTCCGCTGAGATGTGGCCATCGTCGCTGCCACAATTGTAGCAGCAACCGAAGAGCACGGCGGGGAGGCGCGAGTCCGGCCGGGGCCGAGCGGCGGGCAGGTTGCGCATCCTCTGGCGTTGGAGCGGCTGGCGCGGAGGGGAGCGCGGACGGGCGGCCCTGTTGCGCCGGCTGTTCTTGGTTTGCCACGACGTGGGCACAGGCGCCGGAGCATGGGACGGACCGGCCTCACCACCTTTGCCCTGAACGATGGGTCCGAACACTGTTCCGAGAACCTGCGGGACGATGATGGACCACAGCTGCGGCCGTGACGGTGGAGGAACGGGGAAGGAGGGCTCCGACGAGAACGAGCCCGAGAGAGGGAGACTTAGGAAGCCATGCGCACGGAGGGTGTACGCCGTCCCCGGAGTGGAGGGCGGCGCGGCGAGTGGCTATTGGTGCAGCGCGGGGAGAGCGGAGAGCGATGCAGAATTCGATGGGTAGATACAGAAATATCCTAAATTCTAAAAAGTGCGCGCGCACTATCTAGGGAGAACGAGCGGCCGCTGCTCGACCGCACGATGCCAGCGAATTGTTCGGCCCACGACCTCAGGTGATATCTGGTCGGAAGCACACTTCCTTCCTCCTCCTCCTTCCCTGACCCGTCAACCACCGCAGCCATGGCGTCCGACCGGCCGCGACCCGTCCTCCGGCCAACCGTCGCCATCTACCTCCGGCGCGCCGCCGCGCGTGCACCCCGCCGGATCCGATTAGCTCCGCTGCGCCAGATCTGAGGAGTTCCGCGTCGGATCCACCAGTCCACGCAATCCCCACGGTCTCCCCATCCTCCATGTTCCCCTTTCTTGGTGTGGTAGCAGCCCACGATAGGGGAAGGCTGGGTTGCAGCCGGCGATGGCGGAGATGCAGGGGTACCGTGCTTGAGCAACCTCACCTCCTCGGCAGGAGGTGATTAGTGTCAGATTTTGTCTCCGTCTGTGAAACCTGTCTATGTGCAAATGGTGTGTTTCCAATTTTTCTCGCTGGTTGGTCTTCTGCATCTCTAGTTACAATCGTTGATTCTTTGTGATGCAAAATCGTGTGACCTTGAGACCGAGGAATGCCTGCGACTGAATAATTGTGTATCGCGATTGAGGAACTTCATATGTTTTGTTTCTGCTATCTGATATGAGGCACCGGACACAATAGGTGTTGCACACACATTGATATTTAGTTGGCTTTTAATTTAGCCTAGTTGCACACATATTGATGTTTAGTTGGCAGGAAGACTAGTTGCACAAACACATGCTCAGTTGGCTTATAATTTAGTCTAGTTGCACACACATTAATGTTTAGTTGGCAGGAAGACTAGTTGTACACATATATGCTCAGTTGGCTTATAATTTAGTCTAGTTGCACACACATTAATTTTTAGTTGGCTTGTAATGTAGTTTAGTTGCACACACATTGATGTTTAGTTGGCAGGAAGACTAGTTGCACACACATATGCTCAGTTGGCTTGTAATTTAGTCTAGTTGCACACACATTGGTATTTAGTTGGCAAGACACTAATTGCACACACATGCGCAATTGACCCGACAATGTAGTCTAGTTGCACATATATTGATATTTAGTTGGCACAAGGACTATTGGCACACGCATATGCTCAGTTGGCGCTGCATGTAGTCTAGTTGCACACATATTGATGTTTAGTTGGCAGGAAGACTGGTTCGTCGAAACATACCCATGCGAGATCTACTTTCGAAGAGCACGTCGCGAGGGTTCCAACAGTGAAAACGGATGTGTAGTCTAGCAACCATGAAAACTTTGATGTGCAATTAGTCTACTGTCCCGACCAGCTACCTAGTAGTCATTGTGCAACCTTCCTCCCTATTCGTGGATGACATAGAAGACTAGCTGCACATATATATGCTCAGTTGGCTTGTAACTTAGTCTAGTTGCACACACATTAATATTTAGTTGGCTTGTAATATATTCTAGTTGCATATACATTGATGTTTAGTTGGCAGAGAATACTAGTTGCACACACATGCTCAGTTGGCTTGTAATTTACTTTAGTTGCACACATATTAATGTTTAGTTGGCTTGTAATATAGTCTAGTTGCACACACATTGATGTTTAGTTGGCAGAGAAGACTAGTTACACACATATATGCTCAGTTGGCTTGTAATTTATTCTAGTTGCACATATATTGATGTTTAGTTGGCAGGACAATTGGCACACACATATGCTCAGTTGGCATGGCAATGTAGTCTAGTTTGCAGACACATTCATGTTTAGTTGTCAGGATTATTGGCACACACATATGCTCAGTTGGCGCGGCAATATAGTCTAGTTGCACACATATTGATGTTTAGATGGCAGGAAAACTAGTTCATCAAAACATCCCCATGCAGGATCTACTTTTGAAGAGCACGTCGCGAGGGTTTCAAGGGTGAAAAGAGATCTGAATTTCAACACACGGTTTAGAAGATATCTCTTTTATAATTTTGAAAACCAAAAATTAATACATAAAGGACAAAGATGAGGAACATTTAATGCATGACATGCAGGCACCAGATGCATGCATGCAGCGGCTGACCAAACAGGCACTAGTGCGAGTGAGGCCCGATCGGGTGGAAGGGGTGATTGTTTCCTTTTTCTAAACGTGAATGTGACAGGTACTTACTTTATTTAGCCGGCCGCTGGATCGCGCTAGTGGGCAGCCGGCCGCCCACTAGACGCGTCCCAGAAATATTTCCCATATTATATTGGTGTTATCTACCCATCTCCACTTGCTCCATCTGTGGACCCCACTACAGCTAGCATCCAGCGTGTCGGAGGAGCTGTCAAGGTTAGGCCGAGGATTAACCTCCTTTTCAAGAAAGGGAACGCAACAACTAGTTAGCTAATCTGAAGCCGACGTGTACAAGTTCAGAAAAGTCACGTGGATACAACTTCATCATTGTCAGCTTTGGCGTTTGGAAAGTCTAGGAGCGAATTGTGTGTTTTTGACTTCTGGTTTTCCCAGTCATGTGTTTTTGACTTCTGTTTTTTCAACTCTTGGTGACACTTGTATTCTTCTGTGTTTTCGACTTCTGGTTTTTTCTGGTCAAGTTATTTGGAAGACTGACGGTCCTTTGTTTTTCTGGCAACACTTGAACTAATGATTGTTGGACCAGCGTCTCTGTCTGTCACTTTCCATGCATGTAAAAAAGGTCCGCAATAGCTTATGGTAGCTGTTAAATACTGCAATACATTACCATTTACAAAAATTGAACCTTATAACAGGTGGCAAGCCGCTCCAAGGTAAGCTGCTCCTGTGGTGCTTCAAAGCGGCATGTTTCTCTTTTGAATTAAGAAGGTGAGAATAAGCGAGTTGGGAAAAATCAACCTCATTCAAGATTAGTTCGGCAATCCCTGCATTCCAACTCAATTAGTTTGTCATTAGTTTGTCACAAGAACTTCTTAATTGCGGGGAGTAACTTTACACTCTATAGCACTTGCTATCAAGGAACAAGCGGACGACTACAAGTAATACTCTTCCCTTTTCAGTTTATAGGGCTCAATTCAAAAATCACACCAGCCAAGGTAGATGGTGAGTGGTGAAATACTTTTTTTAATTTGAAAAAGCACTCAATTAATGCTCTTGTTTTCCTCAAAAATTATATTTACCGATGTATTAATCATAATGCACGTATGCATAAAGTACATGCATTGATCAATTTTCTTTTAATACTTGCATGCAATTATTTAATGCACCTTGAAATCTAAACTTATGATGTAGAACAATCAAATTAAGCCTTATAAAATGAAAAAAAAAACTAAAATTTTGAGATAAACCCTATAAACCGGAAAGAAGGGAGTATACGGATGTGTTTTTCTACGTCTCAAAATAAATGCCTCAACTCTATACTAAATTTATACAGTATAGAGTTAAGGCACTTATTTTGAGACCGAGGAAGTACGTGCATGGAATATGCATACCAGTTGCTCAACAGTTTGTTCCAGCTCAGAAAGAGAAAACAAGACGTCTCGCTTACTACCGCCTCGCACCGTATTACTAGACTTGTACTTACAGAGAATGATGATAACTTGGACTTTCAAGTGCCGTGTGACTTGCTGCTCTTACCTTGGGCGTGGAAGTCTACCAGGTCCAGGGATCTGCGTAACTATGTTCTTATATTAACACAGTGCACAAAGACATTGTATGGACGTACTACTGCAGTCGCGTGTACTACAGTGAATGAATCCACGTGCGGGACGTATTACTAGTGGCGCGCCGCCGTCTTGGAATTAATCCACGTGCGGGACGTATTACTAGTGGCCTGTTCAAAAATGTGTGGAATGACTTTTCTCCACATGCGTAGCATTTCTTTTGCTTTGAAAAATTTCAATACCAGAGGCTCTAATAATAGTATAAATCAGCAAACACGTGGAATCTTCACCTCGAGCGCTCCTCTACAAATACTTGATGATGGCGGCAAGCAGCAGCTCATCACCGAGCCAACATCCGCGATAGACAGACACACACACACAGAGAAGACGGAGAATGCTTACGTTTACCACTGCAGTCCGGCATGTTCCGGTGCTCGGCCAGCCGACAACCGAGCCATGGCGACGACATTCCCTGCACCTAAACTCTCGGCGTCGACAATGTGGTAATCTCCTGACCAGAATGCATGCATGGTCTACTTAATCAGTGTTCCTGGCTCACCTTCCCACAAAAAAATGTTTTCATGGAAGCTTTTGTCGCCTCTTAAAATAAATAGAACTTCTTCTATGCATCTTGTCTCTTGTGCACCTAAGGCTTGGAATGATGTTGATCTAGAGGTTTAGGCCGGCCGGAAAGCCAAGTTGGGTTTACCTAGCAACGGTGATGCTTCTGCATCGTTACCTTATTGAAGTCATTGCTCGGATATGTTGCATGGACTTATTTTTCAAGGTGAACATTTAGAATCTAACCTTTGATGGTTGGATCCGGCGACGGCGGCGCTTCTGCGTTGTTGACTAAATGAATGCGTTGCTACTGAAGAACCTTTCTGGTCATCTTTGTGGTGTCAATTGGTGTGGATACGGTCATTGTTGTACCTTGCAGATCAATGTCCTCTGTTTGGGGGTTTCTTTTTTCTTTTTTCACGCTTAGGCATATCTTTGGCCTTATATGACTTTGCTATTTGCCGACGTGTTTATGTGTGTGTTGCTGTTGATTATGTGCATCTTAGCTATGCAGAGGCCGAGTGTGCACTCATTGTGTTTGTATCTCCTTGATGCTTCATTTTAAGTAAATAAAATCCATCCTTTATCGAAAAAAAGGTCGGCCAGAAAAAATCCGTACTGCATCTAAACGTGAACACTTCTATTTCGGCACCCCCCTAAACACATCAACAGTTAAGATCACTTCGTACTCCTTCATTATTAAGGGCGCGATGGGCATTAAGAATATATTTTTTGAAATCTTAAGCAATAATTATGTGAAGTCTAAAATGACGTACTCTGATCACGG